GATGTCAAGAGGAATGAGGGTTTTCCTTTCTTCCCAAGCTGATATTTGTGCCCTTCTTGATTATATGAGTAAGATTAGCGGATTGATGGAGGGAAGTGTCCCCATTGGGTGACAGTTCACACCATATTTCGGTGCGGGGAAGCCCCATTCCTTCATGACCTGGACAGCTTCAAGATCTGAAACAGGCCAAATGTCCTGCGAAACCGATTTTGGCGTTTTGCTTCCTACACAACCAATTTTTTGGGTTTGAATCAATGATTTACTTGTCAGCCTGGATGTGAAATATCTCAGGAGGCTTCCGGCGATACCATAATATCTGAATAGTTTTTCTTCTCATTTTGTCTGTCTACTAGAACTTGTAAAACAATTCAGATGCCATGGAAGTATCGATCGCCATGTCCGACATAAGTCAGCAGCCTTCGCTAGAGTCCGGCGATGATTCGGTCGTTGATCCTGTTTCGGATCCACGTCCAGCTCAAGCAACTCCGACTCGCGCTCCTGGTTTCAGCCGTCGCCTTCGCAACACGGTAAACTAATAGAGCTTTTCAATTTGCCCTGTTTATCTGAGAGCTTTTCAGCCGGACGTTTCGTTGATCGCGTCGCAAAGTGTGCAAGGGTCGCCCGCCAACAAAAAGGGCAATAAGACTCCCTTTGCAGACTTGAGTCCGAGGAGTAGACAAGCAGCTTTGAAGGTACTTCTTTTTCTTTCTCCCTTTTTCCTTCTTTTTCCCGTATTTCAAATCTGTCCAGGAAAGCGTTGATCGTTTGTCGCGTCCACGAAATGCCGAAGGCGCTCGTTGTAATAGGGAATGGAAGCGACAGGTGAGCATGAGTTCTGTCAGTTGTACAGCAATCTCGGGACAATTCTCAACCTGCCTTTTTCTAGGAGGGAAAGGAGGCTGTGCGGAAAGTGTTGGGTTCACCAATGGTCGGAACCGCCCGCGGTAGCAATTTACAAGCACCAGTGACGCCATTCCAACCGCTCGGTTAGATTCTAATCGCACTTTCATGTAAAAAATGTAGTGACTTTTTCAATTTTGAGATGCGTCTCGCATGACGATTGTAAATGCCGAACGCAGTGGAACGGTTCGTCGTGGACCCAGAACTAGATTGAGGCTGGATGGAACTTCACTGTTCCCTGAGGTTTGTTTTCTTTTCGATATAAGTTTCCGTTCCCAGGTATAACTTTCCTATTCAGGAAAGTTCGGCTCCAAAGCACAAAAATCTCCTCAAGCGTCTAGGTGACTATAAGCCACAGCAAAACGTACCTTCGAGACTTTCACCACCACAATCCGTCGATACCAGCGCTACTGAGAGAGCACCACAATCCGTCGATGCCAGCGCTACTGAGAGAGCAGCACAATCCGTCGATGCCAGCGCTACTGAGAGAGCAGCACAATCCGTCGATGCCAGCGCTACTGAGACAGCACCACAATCCGTCGATGCCAGCGCTACTGAGAGAGACCAGCGGGTAGGAAACTACGCCTATGGACGCTTCCAACGGTGGCCAAGCACTGCAATCCACACTTCGTAGTCCTGTGATTGATTCACCACCTGGCGGGACTCAGCGATGTCATCTGCCATGGGTGCACGTGATCAGGTTCCTTACATTTCGTTTAGAACTGAAAATGAAGGAATTTGAAGTAATACGAATCACTTTCAGTCATCCCGAGCTACTGCTGGAAGGAATACTGTCCCCACAACCTCGCCCGTAAGTTGTTATACCCATAGCCACCCAGTGACATCACAAATTATTTTTGAGTTTTTTTTCCAGGATGTCGTAGCAAACGGGTATGAGAACAGCCTCACAGATGCCGCTCGACAATTGAGTTTGGAAGGTAGGGCGACTCAATGAAGCATTAGTGCTAATGTAAGAAAAGCAGTGCGTTACCTGTTAAAAGATGGATGACATGTCATTGACGTCGCGACACGAGAATGACGCGTCTTGTGACGTCATCGACAAGTGACACAATATAGATTACCTTGTCCTTAGCATGATAGGCAACGAATCGAATCTAACGTGTACTTGTCACGTCATCTTTTATTGCTAGCTGGTAGCGGACCTGTGCTACGCCTGCGGCGAAAGCTGCTAATTTTGATAGAAAACCGTAGTTTGGCCACAGACTTACCACATCCCGGCGACAGAATGGGCGTGGCTGCGTACTTCATTCAAATGTGTTGGTTGCTGTGCTTTGGGTGGAATATTGGCGTTTTGGTACAGCTCT